GTTCTACGTTGCATCTGACTGACTGAACCCTTCCTTCCTTGTGAGAAGGCAGCATCGCTGCAGATGCTGGTTGTCCGAGGGAAACACCTTACTGCTGTCACACCCCTCTGCAGTCAGCAGTACGACTTCAGTTCAGTTCTCATTTAAAAAAAAGCAGTAAATATAGATGCGGTTAATTGCATTCATTCATGGTTTGAATCAATCGTACAAGTGACGAAAGTGTCACTAATTATTATTAAAAAAAATAGGAAGAATAACAGTAAATACGAAATACCTTTAAGAAGTTAACATCAAGTTGTGACGCTACAGCACGTGCTAGAAGAGTTTTTCCAGTCCCCGGTGGGCCATAAAGTAGGCATCCTTTTGGAGGGGTTATACCAACTCTGTGGAACAATTCCGGATTCATTAGCGGGAGTTCGATAACTTCTCTGAGTTCACGGATTTGATCAGCCAGTCCACCAACGGAAGCATAAGATACAGAACCTGGATCTTCTGCAGACATGTTATGTACTAGTGGATCCACTTCACGTGGTAGTTGGCGCATAATTGTCAATGTGGTCATGTCCAATGCAACTCTAGTGCCCGGTTTTAATTTACTGCTTTGTAAACTGCGTCGACAACCAACAACATATCGTGGTCCGTTACTAGCTTTAACAATAACTGGGAAGTAAAGATAAACTTCTATCAAAAGATTACATCCAACAAAATAATAAGACAACCGAATTTGGTGAAGCAAACTACTTAGATACATTTACCATTGAAATGATTCCTACTAGCCTACATACAATAGCCTCTTTTATGTTTAATCAGAAAATTTAAACATGATCATTACGTCCAAATTTTTAGTTTTTGCAATGGTTTCTAGTGTATTTTTGTTCATTCTGAACAATAAAATTTTGAGGTCCGTAAGTCATCAATGGTTAGAGAGCTTGAACGACGTGGTTCAAAATCGTTTGCAATGGCTCAGGTGCTTCCACTCTTTGTGTTCTCTCATATTCTAATCTGCAGAATTCCTTATCACCCCCATATTTCTCTATCTAAAGTCACGTCACTGAATTATACTTCTTGAATAATATCTCCGATCCCTAATATTCTCCATTAGTTCTAATACTTCTATTATCTCTATTATTTCTACCACGTACGTACGAAGTGACTGAATTTCACATATTTCTGTTTATGTTGAAAATATGACTACGAGCAGTGTTGAAAAGCCCAAGTTTTGGGATCTTCATTTATAATAAAACCCTACAAAACATCTCTATTGTCTGTTGAAATTACTCTGAAACATATATTGTAGCTTATAGCCTCCGATTACCACAGAAATCCGGAAGTTACACTCTAAACCAAGTGTCGATGTCCCTAGTTCAAGTTGGACTGTTTAAGGATGAAGCTTGAACTTTCTTTGCGGAAAAAAATTAGTACATGCTCAAGATAGTATCAGGCTACCAATAATTATTCGTTTCCGATTGACAGATTGTTTTCCCTGCTATGTGCTTAACCTGGGGAATTCCTTTGCCGAGCCTTAGGAATTTTGTTAAACGCTTCCATCACATTTGTCCAATGGACGGCTTAGAAAGCACAGTTCTGTTCAAAACTGAACTCAATTGTGGTGCTAAACAATACACATTCGTTTCTATATACATATTCCCGATCAAATTATTCGGCATCTGTTTATGAATGCATAGTAAGAGAAAACAGACTTTAAAACATCTAAAACTCATAGAGAACATGAAAATGATTTTGTAGCTAGATGGAAAGTAGAAACTCACAGTGATCATCAGTTAGTTGCTTCAAAACATCACCCACTATCTTCAAACAGAAATTAATCGAAAGATGCAGTAAAATACCTGCCCAACACTTTGTAGAGCCTTTAAATCATTCTCAGCTTTATCGTACTCTTTGGAAATCGCCTTGGATTTCTCTCGAGCTAGTTTTTGAAGAATAATATGGTGAAAATTATTACCTTCTTTTAGTCTTGCATCTATTCCTCTATGTTCCACAAGTTTACGTCGATAGTAGCTAAGTGCTTTCTCTCTAGCACTTTCTCCTGGGACAGCAACAGTCATGACTAATCCACTGTAGCACAGTTGTCAAATTAGTCCCAATATTCTATATTCAATATCTTTTTCACGAGCTAGTATAAACCAATTGATTTCTTTGAGCTCGATTCTTGTTCTTTTGATACGGTTCCAGGTGTTTGGTAGTGTTCAATGAATAGGCGTCTAGCCACCTGACAGTCTAATTCTAGTCAGTTTACAGTTGGTTGTGAGTTTGTGTTCCGTGGTTTGAATGAAAAAGGTTTGTTTCAGGGCAGTAGGGTTTCTGGATACTAGTAGCTGTCACATTACCAAACCGGAGATCAGTTAGTTGCAATATGGAGAATAATAATGATGGAATTTTGATGCTAATGTGAATAAGATTTCAGAACCAAGTAAATCAATAGATAATTTAGTTTAATAATTGGTAGTGAGGATAGCGTGAGAGGACCGATATGAACAGAAGACAGATATTATCTAAGCCGTCGCAAGAAATATCTCGTTTAAACTGCACTCTTCTCAATATCCTAACCATCCTTTAAATATACCTACGATGTCTATCATTCCCAACTTCTGGTTTTACTGGGTTCGCTAGATTGGATTAAATTATTCAAGTGGTTGTAGACGGAACAATAGGAGCTTTCGTTAAACGGTCCTCCGTATCTGGTGTTAGTGGAACAATGAAGTCTGTGATTAAAAACCTAGATATATATAACGGGAAAAACATGAATAATATAAATCATAACCATCTTGTCGTTTTAATAAAATATCATTTTTCTTCCTGAAAGGCTCCATGGACCACTTTTTCTCTCAGGGAACTACAAAATTTGACTACTCGTAAACAGTAAAAAGTGTACCTGTAGTCCATTCCACCATACTATGCCTTTAGTTTATCGGTATTTCCCCTAGGATTTGCGTTGGCAGTGAGCTTAAGTAGGTTTTTTAGGGAATGTCCAATAGAATGTCACCTCTGAGACACCTATACTCTATTGATGTGATCCAATGATTAGAAGCGCTTTTGTAGGCTTTGAATTTGAGTCCTCGAACTGATTTCATCGTTCGCATTTGGAAACGTTCTTGCATATTCTTGTCCCATGGAGGTGAGAAAAGAAACTCTGTATTTCCATACGTTGGTTGGAGCCAAATAAATCCATTAAAGAATAAGTAAATCCTCACATTTAAACTGGCCAAGTATGCATTTCGACATTACCGGTGCAGGGTTTGCTCGAAGAGCATTTTGTCACAGCTTAGGATTTTGATCATAGGGAACCCGAAATCCTAGATTTAACGCAAACCTAGAGGGTGGTTACGCAGTTCCATAAGTCGTCTGCAACATGTCTTAAATGAATTGCCTTATGATTCTGCTTTGAAACCATGCCCGTCATTATCCACCCAACTTTGAACTCGAATCTGCTTTTACTGAATTCAAAACTTATCATACTGGTTGCGAATTTCCCTCTAAAGTTTAGCATAGTCAGCAAAAGGCAATAACTCAGACGACACTTTCTGAGAAAGCTCGCTGATAAGCAGAAGTGATCCTACTTTTGAACCTTGATAGACCTGTAGTGGAACTACTTTGTGAAGAAAACATGATTACTGACATATAAATACTTATTATAGAACATGTGTAACAATAACTGTTTTATTGTACACCTTTTGTTTATCTGTACTTGAATTCATAATTCAAGCGCCAATCTCGCCAACCTCGCCAACCCTGTGGACCTATTGATCGTTTCGTGCAACCGTTATTTTGCTGGCTGAACACGTGATATTATTTCGATATCACCCGACCTCCTATCAATAAATATGATATCCTATACCTTGCCTTATGATTTGGAATACGTTCGGGCGTTTAAACTTCGCAACCACAACACTGGTGAACCCGTTGTTTGCAACGCGCAATTAATTTTGGATATTTTCGCCACAACCCAACCAAACTAGATAATTCTGTCAATTTTCTATCCATAATATTCATTCTGTTGCTATAACTTTTCATACTTATATATATAATAAACTAGCAACAGCGACTTAATCATAAGTAACAATGGATAGTTTCAAAAGCAACGATATCACGACAGACTCCCAGATCCAGGTCCTCAATTTTCGACCTGTTTCCTTTATTCCTCACGATCCAGAGGTCTGGTTTGCGACACTGGAAACTCAGTTTGAGATCCATCGCATTACGAACCAGAGGCTAATGTTCGCCTATGCCCTGGAATCTTTACCTGGGGATCATGTAGCTGCTGTCCGTGAGGTCGTCCTCAATCCTAATGCTCCAGATGCCTATAATCGTTTCAAGGAGGTGATTCTCCAGCATTTCCCCCCATCGAAGGAGGAACGTTTGCAGACGCTTTTAGCACGTCACCCTATGGGTGATGCTCAACCTAGCCACCACCTCACGCGCCTGCAATCTTTAGCAGGACCGACAGCATTCAACTCGGATATAGTGAAGGAACTGTGGCTAGATTCATTACCAGCTCACGTTCAGCCTACGATCGCTGCTCTGCCCGAGGATAAGCCGCTTAGCCAAGTTGCACTCTTAGCAGACAGAGTCGTTGCACGAACTGGCCATCGAGACAACTGTATTGTTGAGTCCACGTCACATACCGGCGTGGGCCTCGAGACCAATCAGGTTAAAGCTCAAAAGGATAAGGGTTGCTGTATCCACAGCCGTCTCAGTTTTCGAGATCGTTCTAATGAACCTGATCCCTACGTCCGACGAGCCCGATCACGATCGCGGAAGGCTAAAGTACTCGCCCCCAGCGGGCATCTTCCAAGCCACGCCAGCGAGCGGCTTCGGAAGCGAGTACTGGTTGGTGCTGGTTCCACCGGACCTTTAGGTCTGGCGCCCTCCATTGTCGAGCTCCCTGCTCATACAAGGCGGGAAAGTCCCAAGCCGGCACACACTTGAATATTGTTCACTCATATTTACAAACATCAATATCATGGACAAAATGCGAGTTGAAAATGTACAAAGAAGCTTCACCCGGCGACTGCTCGGATTGAGCCATAACTTCAACTACACAGAAAGATGCAAGCATCTTTCCCTAGAACCTCTATGGCGCCGTCGTCTCAAAAACAACCTAATGCTCCTCTATAAACTAATAAATGGTCTTTCGTTCGTAAAATACCGCCCAAATATGAACCACGACACTGCTTACAGACTTAGAAACAACGCATATACACTGTTAACGGCAAAACACAAGAAATTTTTGCGTTGTAATTTCTTTGTAATACGATACAGTCTACTGTGGAACAGGTTACCAATTACTATCCGTATTTGTGACACAATCACTAAGTTCAAGAAACTAGTCATGCTGTTGCTAGACTCTAAAGAGATATATCGACTATTCCCGGAACTCACACAAAGTCCCCAGGCACTCTTTTATGATCCACCAAATATTAAGATGAACCTCGGAAACGAATTATAGACTATGAACACATTGTGTTCTCATTACCAGCCATACATGTATCACGAAATGATAGAAGAATCCCCCTGCTCCTACTAACAGTAAAAGGTTACGCCTTAGAGGTGTAACCCGTGACTTTTCTCTAAATTTAAATTCCGATCATTATTTTCATATCTTGAAAGCAGTTTTAGTTTTTATTTCTAGTAGACAGACAAGTTGAAAAGCCTGTAGATGCTGATCAACTACTGTCAATTACAAGGAACTCAAACACCGTGTATCATTGTGAGTTCCTTCTTGCTTAAGTATTAACAGTTTAACAAATTTCTATTTCCTCAATTCATTAACATGCAAACACCTTGCCTGCTTACCAACTTATCGCTTTTCTTATTTATTTTTAACATTATTTCAACTCTTTTTTTTCACTTTCTCCTCGTTCCAGCTTCCTGTCTTTCCTATTTCAAAACTACCTATTAATTGTTG